CTGGTCCCTCTCTCTGGAATGACCTCCCACTGAACATTCGGCAAGCCTCCTCGCTGCCCATCTTTAAAACCCGCCGCAAAACTCACTTGAATCCTTTGGCATTTGACTCAGCATGATTCAGATTTGTTCTTGGTTTTGCTGTTCGGTGCTTTCTACCGTCTTTGTGACCGATTTTTTGCTTCACTGTTGTATATGTTAGTTGTTCCATGTACAGCACTTTGTATGCAGCGATGGTGGTTTGAAAGTGCTCTCTAAATACAGTTGAGTTGAGTTGAGTTTTTGGAATGTTGGAGGAATCCAGAGAAAACCCACGCAGGCACAGGGGGGAACATGCAAACTTCACACAGGAAAGCTGAAGCCGTAATCGAACCCCGCACCTCTGCACTGTGAAGCGGATGTGCTAACCAGTCGATCACTGTGCCGCCCCTGCTCCATATATTTGTGTCGCATCGTTGCTCCCAGTTCACAATCATGAATGGCGCTCTTCACAGGTGTTATCATTGACAAAATTTAACAGGAAAGATGCCTCGTTCACTTACTCCTTGGAGATATATCATCAAGCAAGAACTCACTGGAGTAAAACCGAAGCATTACTTTTGGTTGTATTATGTCATCCCAACTCAATTTTATGAATATTACTTTCCAATTTTATGGGCTAATATGATGGGCACATCCAATATGGCTGATGAATGGGCCACCTGGTTCAACGGGCGTCTGCAGCAGAAATGTAAAAAAATAAAAGGAGAGAGAATAAATCTTCCTTTTAGATGTCCAAAAGGTTGTGGCTCCCATCAAAGTCCTCATCTTCTGCATTCGAAATGAACAGCTGGGCAAGCTCACAATCAAACACACCAGGGTCACGCTTGTCATTGTCAGAGTCAGTCTCGTTGCCGTGCGGCTCCTCAGAAATGATGCCGGCTTTTTTGACAGCTCGAACATCAGTGCAAACAGACAGGTTAACCCAAACATCCACAGTTCATTCACAAATTGTGGCATAACTCACCCGGCGCCGGCTTCAGTCTTTGTAAAGCTGTGTTCACCATCTGTCATCCATCGTTCCCACGCTGTTCTCAACTTCACTTTGAACACTGTGTTTAGACCGATGTCCAGTGGTTGGAGTTCCTTAGTCAAGCCTCTCTCTCTTAAAAATCACTATAAGTGGCAGTTTCTGTCCATTACACTGGCAAACAAGACAACAGTAAAAGCAGAATTCTCGTGTCCCGATGTACGTATTGCGACCGTGCTGGTCCTATTCTTTTCGACAGTGTGGCACCTCCTCCATGTTGGTGATGTGGTTAGGCTGAATGTTTGTGTTGGCAATCTTTTGAACTTTATGCACAGCCTTAGGAGCATAAGGTTAGTATTTTATTTTATGTTTTTTTTTTTTAGCCAGTTTGGTATATTTGGGAGAGCTGGGTGATATGACGATATATGTAGTGAAGATGATCAGACTCTCAAAATGTGGACTCAGAGGGGTATTAAACAACAACAAAAAAATTTTCTTGCCATACATGGCAATGGCGAGTGATGAAAAAAGCGGAAGAGGCGTGGCCTGGTCGGGGGCGTGGCCTGGACGGGGCGTGGTTACTTACAAAAGTGGCACTCAACATACTGAAGATGAAGTGTATTCAATTTACACACTATTTGAAACTTTAACAGAAAAAAAATCCCAAGATTGTTCACTATTCTTTCAAGTGAAAATTTGTGCAATTTTGCTTATGCATTCCTAGTGAGCACCAATAGGTAACTCCAAATTTGCTGCTCAAAATCAAAACTAAAAAAGTAAACACTTTCCCTGCCATA